ATGTGACTCCACTCAGAGAACTCAAACCAGCATCTCAGAGGGAGCTGACGTTGCATGCAGTACAGTCATCACCACTCAGAGAAGCAACAGCCAACAGGGACAGATCAATGGAAGCAGCTGGTAAAGAAAGGAGACAGTAATAAACACCTGTCTCGTTCAGAATTGCTGTGTCCTGAAGAGCACGTAGGCAAGAGTCAGGGCCATACCACCTACCCTCACTCTATGAAGTCAGATCCCCAGTTCAAGGCTGCTGGGGGAGAGAACAATTGGGGAGGTAAGTAAGAGGATGAGAAAAGGTGGTCAGGAACTGAGATACAAGTATTAAATAGCATTGAATTTTAAGAATCTGAAGGGCCAAGAAAGGTATAGCCTTCACTCAAGAGATTGCTAAGAGACCAAGAAGAGAGGTGAAAAGTTGTGACCAGAGAAAAATGAAAGTCTTTCCTGATTATATTTTACTGAGACACTTATTGGAACTTGTTGAAAACGGGTGCTAATAATAATAACAATAAGAGTACACAGCTAATATTTATTTTTCCCTTAAAATTATAGTCTGGGCCAAGTGACATGCATTCTATCATTTCATTTCCATAGAATTCCAGTAACGTGGGAAGTAAAATACTATATATATTAAGAAACTGAAGTCCGGGGGTGCCTGGGTGGCTCCGTCGGCTAGGGTTCTACCTTAGGCTCAGGTCATGATCCGAGGGTCCTGAAATTGAGCCTCATCTAGGGGCTCCCTGCTCAGTAGGGAGTCTGCTTTTCTCTCTCCCTCAGCCCCTTCCACTGCTCATGTGCTCTCTCTCTCTCTCTCTCTCAAATACATAAATAAAATCTTAAAAAAAAAAAAAGAAGCAGCACAAGTTCCATAAAGGAAAATATGTGTACGGCCACCTAACCAGCAAGGTGTAAGAGCCTGGGTTTGAACCTGAGCTCCCCATGGCACAGTAGTACCCCAGCTGCTTTGTTTCTGAGCCTCATTGTGTCTGCCTCCCACTCAAAAATGAGCTCTTCTTGGGGCCTGCTATGTGGTACTTGCTCAAGCATATTGTGGCAAGTGCCTCTGACATGCAACTAAGAGATATGGCTACTACAAATGGAAACCATCTTCAAATATTAAGGGGGTTCTTAAGTCTCCCTCCGAGTTTCTGAAAGCAAGCACTCAATGTTACTATTTCATCTGAAAATAAAGTCAGAATTCTAATTCTGTGAACTAAATCATTAATCCACCCTGATTCTGGTTAATATGACCTGAGTCATGACTCAACACTTCATAAAACAATGCTAGGTTGATGTGAAAGATATAATTGCCACCCACACGAAGAAAAATAAGCCAAAAATAATGGCATGCATCTACCATGGTTCCAATCAAGCCCAACAGAAAGAAACCAAAAGGTTGACAATGATTATTTCTAGCTGGTCATATAATGTGCAATTCATAGTTTCTTTTTTATTCTTTTGAAGATTCCAGTTTCCTTACAATGAGCATGTATTTCTTTTTTAACCAGAAAAATATATCGCTGCAGGAGCAGCAGGCTCTGCCAAATGCTCCAGCATAACAAAACAGTTATCTCCCTGAGTTTCAGTGGCTAGATAGGAAAACATTTCCTGGTCTCATCAATATTATTGTAACACATTTTACCCTTAACAATTACATTTCTGCCCTTTACCATCATTTCCAAAACACCGTATCTCCTTTGCTCCTGTTTTTATTAATGTGGTCATACGGTCCACCCTGACTGGAAGTGCTAAAGGAGAGTTTGTGGCTTTCAGTTCATTTTTGGTGAACCAGCAAAAACAACATTGATGATTTTTCCTTACACATAAAGTATCTTTCACGTATGATTGGTTATGAAATATTCTCAAGTTCCACTGCAAACTCTACCCTGTATGCCGAAATTTATGAGAGGAAATTATCTGAGAGCTCGGAGCAGAATAAAATTACTGAGCAAAAAGAGATTTGCTGACCATCTAGTCCAGACTTTATTATTTTACAGTTGGGAGGGTAAATGCCAGAATGACTTGTCCACTCTTATTCACCCAGTAACGCCAATGCCCAAGGCCACAGGTGCACTTGCTTGTGTATAAATGGGTGAGTGGGCCCTCTGGACACTTTAGCAAATAATAGGTAATTGGTTGAAAACTTATTTGATTGGCTGGTACCAAGGGCATTCTTAAAAAAGAAATTGTTTGCCTTAAGAAAATGCCTTGATGACCTGCCTGGGGCTTAGGCTGAAGCTTTGAGGTGACAGTGGGGAGGGGGCAGTTGGGGAGCTCTTCCTGCCTGGTGTAGAAAATGAACGTGGTTTGAGCACTGGAGCTGGAGCCATATTGGCTGGAATGGCTAAAGGGACTTAAGGAACAGACATGTCTAAAATTCGAGTTTATGCTCTTCCAACCATGGAACAACTATAAGCTATAGAGTGGACAAAACAAGTTTACTGGTATCAGGAAATCACAGAGCAGAATATCAAGCACTGGTTATTTTTGAAAATATTGGGGAGGACAATGGGTTATCAGCAGGACAGATAATGGAGTTTTGATACAGTTGTCCCTACATTTTGGGGTACAAGTTATCCTCTGTTGACACATGGGATGTACGATATAATAGCTCTCAGCTATTGGACAGCCTTTCATGTGCCAGGCACCACCAGTGCAACTTTTCATCTATTATTTGTAACTTTTAGAGCATTTCTACAAAGTAGTTATTATTACCCTTTATTTATAGATGAGGACCCACAGGCTTAGAGAAGTAAAGAATTAGATCCGCTTACTAGCATGGTGATCTTGAGTGAGTCATTTAAACTCTGAGTATCTCTTTTTTCATCTGTGAATGGGGATAATAACTACATTCAGATTTAACATGTAGATGAACTGCTATGCAAATCACCTAGCATAGTGTCTTAAATGTAGAGGATACTTAATAAGTGGATTAATTATTAGAAATTAGGATGAAAGAAGCATAAATTTGGAAATATATCTTAAAAGTTGAATGAGACATATTGATGTGATAGTGAATTAAAATGCAATATGTTCTCTATTTGTACTTTTTCAGTCTAGACACATGAGTGATGAAGAATGAAACTGAAAACATCACGACTTCACCCCATTGTCTTCTATTCCTAAAATTTAATTTGTGAAAGATTGGGATTACAAAAAGTTTGATTATATGTAAAACTTTTTACTTTCCTCTGCTATTCCCTTTACTTTCATTCTGTTCACTCTTTTTCCTTTAAATATTCTGATATTAAACTCTTTTTATATATTTATTTTTTAAAGACTTTATTTATTTGAGATAGAGAGAGAGAGCAAGTATGAACTGGGTAGGGGGGAATAGAGGGAGAGGGAGAAGCAATCTCCCCACAGAGCAGGGAACCCCATGTGGGACTTGATCCCAGGACCCCAGGATCATGACCTGGGCCAAAGGCAGATGCTTAACCGACTAAGCCACCTAGACACCCTTAGACTCTGTTTTTAAATAAAAATAAATATTGTATCAAAACTCAAAGCACTTGCGGAGGGATGTGAGGTTTAGATTCTTTACAGCTAGAAAGTAAGCCCTCTGAAGGTAGGGATTTTTGTTTTGTTCACTAATGCCTCTCAAAGTCCTAGGACAGTACTGCATATATGTAGGAGACCTTCAAAGAGCATTCGTGGAATAAGGAAAAGTTTTCTGAAGAATTCAATTGATCAATTCTTCTTGCATTATTATGCCTTAGATTTGTATGTAATACAAGTGGCTAGTTATTATGGTGGCTCTAAAAGAATTTTTTGCTGGTGGGGCTCAAGCATGGTGTAGGGTGCCTATGGATGCCCTATGCCTCCAGTAACTATGGATGATGGGAGGTAGGAATCTCCTCTGTAGGACTGAGGATAGGGAGGAGACCCTGTCTGCTCAAGCTCTGGTGCCAAAGACAGGCAGTGGGCACTACAGTCTCTAAAGTCTTAGTGGCCAATTGTAGTTCTATTTCCTGAATGAGACAACTGAGATGAATCAAAGAGGTTCTGAAACTCAAGGTTGAAGCTTCTGTGCCATTACTGTTTTCTACCTATTTGATGGCTAGGCCTCCTTATTTAATTACTTCAAACAATTGCTTGAACTGCCAGGCATACTGCATGGATGCTTTGTGCATGGGAAAGAGCAAAGTCCTTTGTGTCCTTCCCTCCTTCCTTACCCTACTCTCCTTCAAAGATTTTATTTTCACTGAACTAGTGCTTCTTCCCAGACAGTAATTTAACTTCATAGCTTTCCAAATTAGAAGGGTTTGCTAAGGAATGTCTCTAAAGTCTCTGCATAGGCTAGCTGTAGCACTTTGCCAACAGGAATTTGAATTTGGTGTAATTCACTGGGCATGTTTAAGAACTTGGCATTCCCAGCATCTCTGCTGTCTGCTGCCTCAGAATTTAAAGGGACCTCAGTGCTCTTTTGGAGCCCCCTATGCTAGACACATAGACCTTGACCTCTGACTTTCGCACTATCTCGGCTCACTCAGGAGGAAGGAATGCTGGTTCCAGAATGCCTTTCTCAGAGAAGGCAGTTTTCCTGATAACTAAAACCCCAACACACTAGATTACTCCCATGTGGATTTTAATGAAAGGCACCTGAGAGAGTCTGGGGATGCCTTGAAATCTCAATACAAGTAAGGAGAAACCTGTGGACAGAGGACATCCAATGCTATTGTTAAGAGGTACGACAGAAAGATAGGTGTGTGTTTTTAGTGACCTGGTCAGGTAGCTACTGAGACTTACCCATAGCCCCAAGAAAAAGATCAGTGAATTATCCCTAGGGTCAACTGAAGCCTGCTTGTAGATGATCTAGGGGCAGTAGAAAGCTAAAATTATATCCCAAGAAACTGATATTTTGTAGAGAATGGACAAGAATATCTACAATGTTTGCCATATAAACATCTGTGAGATTAATAATGAATTTTAGAAACTATAAACATACAGATGGGATTACAAGGATTTGTAGGTAAGAAATAAAGCATACCAACCTTCTAAGACAAATCTGCGCCAAATCTTTTCCTCGTTCCTCTCTTCTGTTTTTCATCAATTGGCTGAGGTCACACAGCTGTGATTCAGGCCCTGGTGACACAGATGAATCAGACATGGCACAAAGTCCAGAATTCTTGGCCAGCCTTACAACAGATTTTTCATCTATCAACCAGAAATGATGCAGTGCTCTGATTCAGTTATGGTGGCCCAAAATGTTAGCTAGGCTATTTTGGAATTATTCCTAGTATTTAGGCAGTCTCTTACCTTCTTTTTGCTTCTTTACATAACAATTATGGGGGGAAAAAAAACAACAATAGATGAAGTGTTTTCATCCCAAATACCTGGGCACTGCCATGTTATTTTTCATTATTGAACCTTCCATATGGACCCCTTCTCTTGGATCAGGTTGACAAAATAAGATCTAATGTATTCAGGTAAAAAAAAAAAAAAGCAAAATGGCTGAAATAAATTATTAATGTTTTCGTAAGTCCCAATGTTAAGTATCTTTTTCTTTCTTTTTTTTTTTTTTTGGCGGGCCACGTGCTAGGTGTCTCAAAAGATATCTATTAAGCAGGCTTCCAATCAAGTTAATTTAATTCACCTTCACTTTCTAAAAATTTATTGGTTAAAAGCTTGGAACTGAGAATCCTACTTGTCTGGATTCTGTTAGTAGCTAGACAACTTATTTGGTACATGCTTAAGAGAAGTTTGACTTCAAAGACACACTTTCTTCACCTGGAGAAAGAGGAAAATTCTATTTGCCTTAACATTGGTTGTACCAAATGCTTGGTATAACCCCCAAGCTCAAGGGCAGCTGGTTTAACAGTACGACCTCAAGAGTCTAGCGCTTGATTTAGCAAATAAAGCTCACAGTTCAGAATAAAGAAAGCACCGAGAATGAAAAGTTCACGTTGGATGACAAGAGAAGCATCGTTTGTGGAAGCCTGCCATCTCTCACTGGGGCAGTTGGGAGAAGCCACCCTACCTCAGAATGGAGCAGGGGGAGGAGAGTGGAGAGAGGGGACAGAGAAGAGGCAATTCTGTTTTATGGAAGAACAATGCTGGTGAGCAAAAAGTACTCCCCCATCTTACTTCCTTGCTCAAGAGAGGACTGGAGGGCTTCTCCACGGTGATACCAAATGAGGGGAGCCTAGAGATTTGAGGAAACTGCGACATTAGACCCTACTGGTCACCTGGCTAGTCACCAGCTTGCTTACCTGCACTTGCTTTCTAATGTAGGGGTAACAACATTGGAGAGAAACACTGAGCCTTCCAAGGAGGGTGGAAGTGGGCTTCCATAGGGGGGCCTCATACCCTGAAAAGAGAGAGGAGCTCATGAGTCAGATGAAAATAGAAGGTCAGTGTTGCTGGGAGATCACAGGGAGAATTGGGGTGCTCTGGAGGAAGTGAGAGAGTTTGCCAAGGAACTGACAATGCATGCTTGGAAGAAGATGTCTTTGAACAGATATGAAAATGAAGCTCTAAAATGAATGACTGAATCATAAGAACAAAATAAGGCCATTTTAATAACCATCCATGAAATCAGACTATCTATTATTGGAACTTCCTACTCAGGGGGAAAAGGGGAGCTTGAGAAATTATTTTTATAACATCTAGGAGCCGGTAAACAGAATGTGAAGCATTTTAAAGTTTTTTGAGGCCCAAATGGGATCAGTCTAAAAATGTGCTATCTTTCCTCTGATTTTATGACATTTATTTTCTTCCCTTTCCAGAATTTCTATTAGAAATTATGTTTCTCAACCTCTTTACTTATTCTCACTTTTGTTACCATAGAATCTGCCTTTTGAGTTTTTTTTCCCCTAATTGTCCTTTCTTCATGAAATCTTAATACTCCCACTATACCCTATAACTCTTTATACACTCACGTATGTCTGTGTTTTTTATGTAGTTAGACTTTTTTCACCTTTCAAGAACAAATTTTGACCCCTTTGGGGGCAATATCGCCCTGTTGAAAGTCCATGGATGAAATTGACAGAAAGGCCTCCTAGCCAGATTGGGCCTGTATCTCCTCATTTCTAAAACTGAGAATTCAATTCAGTAAACATTTCTTATGCTCCAGGCATCGTTCCAGGCCTAAGGATATGAAGAGGAAAGAGGCATGGATACTATGCTTAAAGACATGGTTGCTGTATGTTCTACACAGAGCATTTCCGGTGTGTAATATCTATGCCTTCTATTGCACAGATCTACGATAGACTTACGAGTGTTCCTTGGATTTTTTTCTTTTCTGTTTTGAAAATTTTTATTCTCAAAAATTTAAGGGCTATTTTTGATTGAAAAATTCCTCAAAATGTTAGAGTCAGAAGGACCCTTGAAATCATCCCCTCCAAACTTCTTGGGTCATTTTACACATACAGCAGAGTCCCTGCTGCTGGCTGCACTTTGGGATGTAATTATTCATCTGGAGCTGTGGTTTCTGTCCCTATTCTGTAGCCAACAAACTGAGTGACCTTGGTTGAATTATTGATCATTTCTATGTAATTTAGGGAATGAACTACAGAACTTCCTAAAGCTTCTTTGAATAAGGAAATATTAAGATTCTAAGATTTTTTTTTCTTATGTACAAAATAGAGTGGTGCCAGTTTCTAAAGATATTGTAAAAAAATTAAAAGAAGTATATTATTTTGTAAGATAGTACACCTTCACTTTAGGAATGAAAACCACAAATAGCCAGACTGCAAGTTAGCCAACAATACCGACACTTTACTTCATTTTTCACATATTTTCCTAGATCAGCCAATATCATTATTTGAGGTTCTTTTGATCTTTTTGGAAGCGTTCTTTTTCTACCTTCAAAAAGCACAGTTGAAGTTCTGCCTGAATTGATTTCTTTATCACATTTGAATTTTGGTTCGGGGTATTCTGCCTAACATTTTACTTCTTGGTCTAATGACCAGCAACTTGCACTACTAACATTAAATTGGGTTGCCATTATTGGAAGATTATTGGCAATAACCTGCTCTGCTCCCTTCTGGATCTCATTTACCTCCATGATATTCCTTTACATCTTCTTTTTGTCTGTAGGACTCAGGCCAAGACCGGCTAATCTTTGTCATGATTTAGCACTGAATCATTTTGATTATTCTCTGATGTGTGTTCTCAGACTTAGAATGTCCTCCTATAGCATTCTATGCACAACAGTGCATAGCAGCATTCCCTGGTGAAATTTCATCAGTACTTTATGTGATGCCAAAATAACATCAACACCGTAAAATATGCTTCATAATAATCTTACTTGCTTTTCTTTCTCAGCTGTCAAAGATCATACAGATGGTTTGGTGAAAAGTCCACATTGACTCCCACAGAGTACCCTTCACATTTCTAGTTGATAATAATTTTAAACTTTCATTCCTAATCATTTTTTATTATTAAAACAGCTTTGTTTTGAGAAGTGGGATAGTGGGATAGAAACAATTTTCTCCAGATGAAAAGATGGTAGCCCTTTCCTGGGGAAGTGGGAAGAAAAGATTTATCACAGCCCACATAGTCTCTGTGGACTCAATTCTGGGTTAGAATATCATGGGGAATAGAAGAGAAATGAAAGTCATCAAGGGGAAAGTGGCGTCTTAAGACAGTGCTGTCCAATAGAACTTTCTGCGATGATGGTAATGTTCTATTTGCACTATGAAACACAGTAGCTATTAAGTACTTGAAATGTGGCTATTGTGATTGAGGAAATGGGTTTTCAGTTTATTTAATTTATATTAATTCAAAGTGAAATTGCGCCTACCATATTCATAGCACACAGCCCCAGAAAGTAATATGACTAGTGCTGGGGCCCAGAGTCGAGTACAACGTTGAGCAAATTCTGCTCCACCATTTAATGACTGTGTTCCTGGGGAATATTTAGCCTTGCTGTAATAATATACAGGCAATCTTTGTACCTGCTTCTGAGGACTCTTGCAATGAGTAAGAGCTATAATCCATGCAAAACACTTGACATGGTGCCTTTTCATTCTACTTGTTATACATGTTTGGTATTATTTTAATCATTCCCTTTAGGAGGTGTGATTTAGACACTTGCATCAGGAAGCTGACATAATGTATTCAGAACCTAAGGTTGGAGTCCTCCATTTTTTTCTCACAAGAACGCCATCTGTTCTAGAACTGGGGTGGTAGGAAAATCCTTCCTGAGTGAACCTGGGGAGGGAGCGATGTAAACTTCCTGAAGTTAATATTATTCCTGCTGAACACTCTTTGCTCCGTCTCAAACTTTTCCTTTCTTTGCATTTCATCTCTCAGGATTGTTAAAAATTTAAGAATGTGGAAATTCATCATAGAACATTTAGTTGGCAATGATCAACTTACTTCTGGTGTTTACTTCATGTTCCCTGTGAGACACTTGTAGAAATGAATACACTTCTGTGGAGAAACCTTCAGATGTCAGCTTGATGAACTACAGCTATCTTCCTGGGTCATTCTGAAGAGACCTTGTGTTTGTACCCCTGGATGTGTGCTGCCAATCCTCTCTATCTTTAGCTAAGGATCAGAGCACTCACTGAGTGTCCAGCTGTGTTAATAGGAATGGTCTTAAAATGGTATACCCAATGAGGCAAGAAAAAATAGTTATTTTCTTTATTGACCAACACAAGTCAGCTATCTTTAATCTGATGCTTTCAAATATGCACTAAAAATTAAATTATGTAAACCTTGTCTTTGGAAACAGCATAGAAATTTAAGGAGCATTTAAGTAATAGTGGATGGTTATTGAATGTCAATGGAAGCACTTCTGACATCTATGTTAATGGAAATTAAATTTGTAATCAGTGATATGACAATCAATACCTCATGTCAGCCCAATATACATTATTTTTTTCCCTCTTGAGTCAGAATAATAAGAAACAGCTTTCAACTTATCTTATGCTTCCTTCTTGCTTTTCATTTCTGTATGCTGTCAGTGTAAATGGAAAAGGATGTTTGGGCTTTTCCCCACCTTTCCTCCAAAATTAAAGCTGACTTCTTTATTCTGCATCCTGCTCCAAACTGTACAGCTACTACAGCTGTACCCATCTCCTTTAGGGAGACATGGATGTGTATGTCCCAACTTCTCATTCAGAACTGCGTACACCCAGAGCCCAGCTATGCATCCATTAAATCTAAACTCATAAGCAAGGATGCTGGAGTGCTATGAGCAATAAAAAAATAAAACCTGTAGCATCTGGCTGAACATGCTGTCCTTCTGCAGAAGATAATTTATAGTTTGTTTTCTTTCTCTTGCTGAACTGCTATGGTCTACCTTTTGACCTTTCTTTCTTTCTTTCTTTCTTTCTTTCTTTCTTTTTTTTAATGGGAATGTGGGCAATTCCTATCATTTTTCTGTTTTCCTAATGATTCTCACCAATAATGATAAAATGTGATCCTAATATAAATTAATTAAAGATTTTCATTAAATTTTGATCCTGGAATATTTTAATAGACTGAGTCCTTCAATTGTTTTTCTTTTAATTTGTGAAACACAGGCTTCTTAAATCATGCTTCCTAATATTTTCCTAGGAATAAGACCACATGAAAATCTTAATTAGTCCCTTAAGCTTTACAGACATTACTTTATTTTTATGTCCAATGCCAGTTTAACACAAAGTACTTTTGCAGTAATTTTCCTTTGGAATTCTTCTTCTTCTTCTTTTTTTTTTTAATCTTTGAGGTTAGAGTTTGAGGTTTATGGAGAACGTGTACACGGGAGGGCAACTGTTATATCAATCACATTTAATCAGTCCCCTTTTTCAATTACTTGCATCTTGAAAATGAAAGTTACATCTAAACTAAAATAACAATTATTATCTAAAATCTTTTTTAAAAACAATACAAACTTTTGACTGTGGAATGCATGACAAAGAATTTATTTCAAGAATGTTGTTCAATTTGTTACCATCAGATGTTCAGTTTTCCATCTGGAGTGAGTGATATGTTATCATTAACCAATATGGACTAAATTTTATCTTATTTTTATTTCAAAATTGTTAAAATACAAGGTGGGAAGGAGGCCTTTGTCTTGTATGTATAATTTTTTGTTCCTTTTAAAGCTAATTAAGACTAGTACTATCTTTCTGAGGCTTTCCCAATGGGATATTTATATAAATCAGTTTGACTCTATTAATATACTGTATTGATCTACAATTCATCTAATTGTTAGGAGGATATTAATGGATTCCATTAGTCCATTTTCTAATTTCCACATATTCTAAGGACAATAAATCTCTAGTTCACCTACTTGTAAGGAAGAGTCAATTCCAATAGAACCAGTTGAAAATAGGACAAAGGACATTTCTAATAAAATTTATTAGCACAAGTAAA